CGGTGCGGACTTGGCTTCCAGAACCACAGTGGAAGACTTGGCGTGACTTAAACCAGAAGGTGGTCACGAGCCGACACCGTCCCCGTAGGTTCTCATCCGCCAGGTAGCCGCTCTCACTTGTGTTAGAATTGCCCAGCAGTGGGGTGGGAAACCCTTTACAGCCGAGGGGCAGGGCCTGCCCACCCGGACCCACTCTGAGGCCACGCCCCGTGGGTGATTTTGGGAGGCGCAGGCAGCAACCCGGGCTCTGACCAGCACCTGCCAGGCCTGGGCTGGGCTCTCGCCTCACGACCGAGTCAGCGGCCCCACCCTGCAAGGGTGGGGGCAGTCAGTGGCCCCGCTGGGATGAGGGGACCGGAAGGCAGTGACAGGGCAGCAGGACAGGACTGGGCCCGCTGTGGGGACGCGGGACACCGCACACACCTTGCTTCTACGTCCCTGCCCACCACGTCCTAGGCGAGAGACAGACGGTCAGCAAACCGGGACAGGAATAATACGAAGGGAGATACTCATGCTCCAGTGGGCTATGCCTCTCCGGGTCTCTCAAGGAGGCCAAATTAAGGAAGGAGCCCAGCCAGGTGGGTGTGCACGCCTGGAATCCCAGCACTTGGAGGCTGAGGCAGGAGGATCACTGTGAGTTCAAGACCCTGTCTCAAAAAGACAAAAACACCAGGTCCTCACACGCACTGAGCAGGTGCTACTGAGTCACACCCCATCCCAGCCTCACTTAAATGTCTATTTGTATAGATTTTATTTCTACAAAAGGCAATGCCTCGGTCTACCAGAAAACAGTTTCTCTTTTGGGGGAGTGGGGCGCAGATACTGGGGGTTGAACCCAGGGCCTTCACAGTGAGCTCAACCCCAGCCCCTTTTTATTTTTCATCTTGAGACAGGGTCTCACTAAGTCACTGAATTGCTCAGGCAGGGCTCAAACTTGTAATCCTCCTGCCTCAGCCTCCCAGAGTGCTGGAATCACAGCATGCACCACCAGGCCCAGCTCTCTTTCTTTCTTCCTTTCCTTCTTTCTTTCTTTTTTTCTCCGAGGATTGAACTCAGGACCTTGCACTTGCAAGGCAGGCATTGGCACCACTGAGCTAAGTCCCCAGACCCCACTTTCTCCTTAATTCATCAGGACAGAGAGCTGTAATTTCTTTACTCCTCCCTCCCTTGCTCCTCTCTGGGCTCCAGGGTTGTTTTGCTCTTACAAACAATGGTGTCATCATCATACCTAGACACTGCACTTTTGCAAACAGGACCTCAGAAGAGAGCTCAGCAGAGGGACTATCGGGTGAAAGCCTAGATCTTTTGGGAGGGTACTGGGGATGGAAGTCAGGTCCTTGCGCTTGTGAGGCAGGCAGCAGAACCACTGAGCTAAATCCCTGGCCTGCATAGATCTTTTTTGAACAGGGTCTCAGGATGTTGTCCAGCCTGATCCTGAACTGCTGGGCTCCTGTGATCCTCCTGCCTCAGCCTCCCAAATTCTGGGATCACAGGCGTGCACCACCCTTCCCAGGGGGCTGCCTCGGTTTCCTTCTGCCCATCCGTGCCCCTCTTTCCCTGGGTCCCCTGCCTGCTGCCGTCATCAGGGGACCCGGGCCTGCCTGGGGCTCAGTGCCTGTGCTGTTTCCAGGTCTTTTGCCCCTGCTCTCACTGCGGGTCTCCTTTGTCTCAGTCCAGGCTTTGTCTGGTGGCCCGGAGATCTGGGAGGGGTGGAGCTGGCCCAGGGCTGAGTGACCACCTAGGGCCAGCAGGGACGCTGTGGGACAGCTGGAGGCAGCGGGATGACACTCCCTGTCCAGGTGAGCAGGTGGGCAGGTGATGCCCCAGGTGGGAGGAGAGGCCAGAGGAGGAGGCCCAGGGCAGCTGACACTGCACCTGTCAGACACTGTCACCTGGGCCATCACCGCCTCCTTCCCTCTGTCCCCAAGAAGGAACACAGCAAGCCGTGCTTAACGTGTAGAGAGTAGGAACCAAGAATGGGTCCAGGATGGCAGCAGGAATAGGTTCAGGACAAGCTGGAGTTCCGCTGCCTCTGCATGGGAAAGGGGCAGGAAGGTGGCAGTGCGCACCTGTGGTCCCAGCACTCTGGGAGGCTGAGGCAGGAGGACCTCAAGTTCCAGCACAGCTTGGGCAATTTAGCAACTTATTGTCTCAAATTTTATTCCATTTTTTTTTTTTTTTTTTTTGGTACCGGGGATTGAACTCAGGTCCTTGCGCTTGCAAGGCAGGCCCCCAAATCACTGAGCTAGATCCCTGGCCCTGTCTCAAATTTTAAAATCACAGCCAAATGCACACCTGTGATCCCAGCACTTGAGAAGCTGAGACAGGAGGATCGCCATGAGTTCGAGGCCAGCCTGGGCTTCAAGGCCAGCCTGAACTACAAAATGAGACTCTGTCTCAAAAAAAAAAAAAAAAAGAATTTTGAATAAGAATTACACCTGCCTCACAACCCCAAGGTCCTGAGTTCAATCACTGGTACTAAATAAATAAATAAATAAATTACCAAGCAGCTGGAGATGTAGCTCAGAGCAAAGGCCCTGGGTTCAATCCCCAGCACCACAAAGAAACCAGGGGCTGGCAGTGAAGGGCTTCCCCGGCCCTCGATGTCCCCAGCCACTGGACAATGGCCACACTTCTGGCTGCACTGACAGTGGAGCAGAAAGCCCAGGGCTGTCCTTTCCTGTGGCGGGGACCCCAGCCAGGACGGGCGGAGGCCGGGACACGGGACAGTGGCCCCAGGAACCCGGGGACCCGCCCGGCCAGAGCTCCGCTCCCAGTTCTGCGCCCAGCG